ATCTATATAGTAAAATAGAAGCGACCTGTTAGGGCTGCCATTTCACGTGCCAGGTCATGTGTTCACGTGTTTCTGCCCGTCCGAACGTCCGAACGCGTTGCATCTGTCTCCTGCATTGCCCTGCCCATTGAATGTTTCCTCCTTCTGAAATTTATATCACTTCAACTTCAACTGTTCAGCACGTACTTATACTGAACAACATCTAACTGCATCAACCTATACTATCCCCGCGCTCTCATTGAGGTATGTGGAATTACATGAGTCTTCCCTTCACGTACTGATCGTTCATGCCAGATCCCCGCCAGCTCTTCACTATGTCTTCGATCATGAGAGCTATTGAAGAACGTGCCCGGGCACAGATAGTGCAACATGGGAATGCAGCTGCCGATACGTATGCCCAGCTTCAAGTTCAGCAACAGGACCAGCCAGATTTGTTACTGGACCCGCCGGAGCACTTATTGCCGAACACGGAAGTGCTCTCGCCGCGTATCGAGCAATTCAGCAAGCGCAAATGCATGCCGGCACTCCTCCCAGGGCACCCACCCTCACCACGACTCCCGCTACCCCCGCTACCCCCGCTCTCCCTACTCCCGCCACCACCCCCATTGCCCAGCGTCGCATTGCTGTCCCCAGGAACCTCAGACCCCCTCCTCTTCCTACTCGACAACGGGCCCGACCTATCCCGCTGCTTCCCTTGGGACTGCGCTCCTTCCAAGATTCCGATGTTGGCTCCCCAGACAGGTTTCAATGTCGGCTATCAAGACAGAGTGTGCCCAATGTGCAGCGCCCGGGTTTGGGAAAAGGAATCCTACCAGACGGGCCAATGGTCTGAAAGCTGTAACGGCATCTGCTGCACAAATGGCAAAGTGGACCTGCCCAACCTTCCCGATACCCCCCCTTTCCTGAAGTACCTATTTACCTCGGGGGATGAGCGAGCAAAGGACTTTCGGAAGCACATCCGGAAGTTCAATACCGCACTGAGCTTTACTTCGATGGGTGCGAAGGTGGATGAGAGAGTAACCGGTCGCGGTGGTGGGCCACCAGTCTATCGTATCCAAGGCGAAGTCAGGCATCGTATTGGTTCTTTGCTCCCTGAGGCAGGGCGAAATCCATTGTTTGCTCAGTTCTACGTCTGCGATACACAGATTGGTGATACCAACCGCCCGGCTGTGATCTCTGCATCCCAAACGCAACTCTGTCGTGAGTTACAAGCCATGCTCACGGAGGTGAACCCGTACGCACGCGCATACCGTACGGCCCGCGAAAGACTCTTGGATGCGGAAACCCCAGCAGTCAATCTCCAGATGCGGCTCTTGGCTGACCGCGCAAAGGATGGACGCCGGTACAATCTCCCAACTGCAGACGAGGTTGCCGCCTTGATGGTCGGTGATGGCTCCCAAGATGCTAATCCCCGTGACATCATTCTTCAGTACCGAGATGGTCGTCTCAGGCGGATCTACGAAACTTTTGTCGGCTACTATCCTCTTGGATATCCCCTATTGTTCCCGTGGGGTGAGGATGGATGGCATCGGAAGATCAAGATCCGCGAGCGTGCTCCTGCTCCAACCGAATCTGACGGTGAAGAAGGCCTCCAAGTCCAAGGCGGCGAGGATGATGAAGAGTCCACCAAGCGGCAATTTGTTACCATGCGAGAGTTTTCGGCCTTTCGTTTGCAAGTGCGACAATGTGACGGACCCGCTCTGATGCGCGGAGGTCGACTACTGCAGCAGTTCATAGTGGACAGCTACGCCTCTCTGGAACAAAACCGCGTCAACTACCTGAAGATGAACCAAGACAAGCTGCGAGCCGATGTCTATCAAGGACTACAAGATGCCGTCATGGGTGGGGACTATGACGGCAACAGTATTGGCCGCAGGGTTGTTCTTCCCTCATCGTTCAATGGAGGTCCTCGCCACATGATGCAGAACTATCAGGACGCAATGGCTATCTGCGCAACTTTCGGCAAGCCAGATCTTTTTGTGACGGTCACCTGTAACCCGAATTGGCCGGAGATCACGGAAGCACTGTTACCGAACCAGAAACCATCCGATCGCCCTGATTTAGTCGCACGCGCTTTCCATCTGCGCAAGAAGGAGCTGCAGCGCGAGCTCTACAAGACCCACATCTTTGGAAAGTCCGTCGCTCACCTGGGGGTGATTGAGTTCCAAAAACGTGGCCTTCCGCATTGTCATATGCTCATGTGGTTGGCAGAGGATGCCAAATTGCGTCGGGTTGAAGACATTGACCGGCTGATCAGTGCCGAAATCCCTGACCGTGTCAAGAATCCGCTTGCGTTCGCTACTGTCAGCAAATACATGATGCATGGGCCGTGTGGGACCGGCTTCGCAAATGCACCCTGTATGGAAGATGGCAAGTGCAGCAAAGGATATCCATGCAACTTCCGTCCTACAACTTCTGCTGAAGACCAAGGCTATCCAAAGTACCGCCGTCGACAAAACGGCGAAACTGTCTTGGTGAAGAACACGGAGCTTGACAACCAATGGGTCGTCCCCCACAACCTCTACCTGTGTACCCGCTATGATTGCCACATCAATGTCGAGGCCGTCCACACCGTCGGTGCCATCAAGTATCTCTTCAAGTACGTCTATAAGGGGCATGACAAGGCAACTGCTGTCATTTCAAGAGCGGGGGGTCCTGATGCCGCCCAACCTACGATTGAAGAAGGCACCGACGAGATCAAGCAGTACATTGATTGTCGCTATGTCTCGGCATCTGAAGCTTCCTGGCGACTGTATGCGTTTCCCATGCAAGACAGAAGTCCGTCGGTAGAAAGGCTGCCAGTGTATCTTGAGGGTCAGGAACCAGTGGTCTTTGAGGCTGGGGAGGACCTGCGGGCAGTTTTGGAACGGCCGGTCAAGAACTCTATGCTGGACGCCTACTTTGCGGCCAACGCACACGTGGAGACTGCAGCCGTGGCCAAAACCCTCACCTACAGTCAGTTCCCCACCATGTTTGTTTGGAAACCGAAGCAACGGCAGTGGAAACTTCGACAACGTGGTTCCGCTATTGGTCGCCTCTACTACGCTCCTCCTTCCGCCGGTGAACGTTATTACCTGCGGATGCTACTCCACACGGTCAAGGGTGCCACTTCCTTCGAGGATCTCCGAACGGTGCACGGGACCCATCATGCCACTTTCAAGCAGGCTTGCGTCGCGCGGGGTCTATTGGAGGATGACAACGAGTGGCACACTGTCCTGGGTGAGGCCGGGGTTTGGCAGACAGGGAAGAAACTGCGGGAACTGTTCTGCGATGTCACCAACCCCTTGGATCTCTGGAACGCCCATTGGGAAGTTTTAAGCGATGATCTGGAGTACCTCACCCGCCAGGAAACGAACAATCCAAGTTTGGTCCTCTCTGAAGATGCCCTGCGGAATCGTGCATTGTACGAGATTGAGCAAGTCTTGATTGTACGTGGCAAGGACCTCGAATGTTTCGCTTTGCCTCCAACAACATTTGTCCCTGATGTTGCGGCCGGAAACCGACTTATCCAGGAGCAGCTCAACTATGATCAGGCTGCCGACACCAATGAGGCCAGGCTGAACGCTGACCAACTGCTGGCGTATCAGACTATACTGGACTCTGTCACGTCCCAAGAGGGCAAACTCTTCTTCCTGGATGGTCCCGGAGGTACAGGAAAGACATTCGTATGGACTACGCTACTGGCGCGTCTCCGCGGGCAAGGCAAAATCGTGCTCGCGGTTGCTTCATCTGGGATTGCTGCTTTACTGCTACCCGGCGGTCAAACTGCGCACTCAAGATTCGGAATCCCCATCCAGCTAACGGATGGGTCCACATCACGAATCAAAAAACAAAGTCCCGACGCTGAACTGATGAGGCAAGCAGACCTCATCATCTGGGATGAAGCGCCT